TTACCGCTAGGCCCGTTTAGTAGTTCGGGTAAAAGATACTTCCGCCGACTCTTCTAGAACACGTTTAGTCGAGATACTAAACGCGTCTCGTGCCGAGTCGTTTTGGTGTTACCCGGTGGGCCGAGTATATTGTCATGCTGGGCTAAGTTTCCCTCCTTTGATGGGCCTTGTGGAGGGGTATAACCCATCTCCTACAGTGCACAAGGGAGAGATCAAGAAGATGAGTAAAGAAGGAGTGATGAGGGAGGAGTAGTGAAGAAGGTGATTCGTTGAAGAGATGAGAGACTGAGTCATAGAGCTGTGAGAGAAGTGAGAGGCTGTTATTATTATTAGTATCTGTAGGTAGCTTCTGGAGGAGTTGTTGAATATGGTTGAGACCACTTGAGTGTAGCCGAGATGGTAAGCTAGAAGATCTAACATGGTAGGAGGCAGACATTGATAATGGGTTTTGATAATAGAGAGAAGTTTCAGCTAGAAAGAACCTGAAGTTGAATATTTATAGAGCTAGGGATAGAGAGAGAGAGAGAGATAGGTCAAGTGAAATAGTATTTAGACTTGTGAATATAAAAAGCCATGTGAAAGGGAAATGTTGATTTGTTCAATCAAAGCCTACTTAAAGTTATTTTTCATGCATCTCTCAATTGATTATAGAGTTTTTTTGGGATTAAATGTTAAATAATTAATTAAATTAATTATAGAGTTAGCTCCACATCTACCTAGTTTGCTATTTTCATGTCATTGTATTCATAGCTAATTTTTTCTCTTTTTTTTTTTTGCAAAAGGTGCCCACTTAGATTTTTGATTAAGTCAGAAGAATGAAACTAACATCTCCTTCAACTTTGGGTGTTGATTCATGGTTATATGGATTGTATGTTACTTAATTAGTAAGCATATATTACATGATATTTGTGTGATCAGATAAATATATCATTTACTAAGCACCAGATAATTAAACTGATAATAATCTTTAGAAAAGCTGGTGGTGGTTGGATAATCATAATACTATATACGGGCCCGTGTGCACGAGTGTCTTGTTAAAAACTTCCAGAGGAAACATTAATAGTTGCAATAATAATCTACTGATCACAATCACAAGGCCTTCCTTTCTTTAACTAGTTTGAATTCATGAACGTGACTTGTCACTATCAAAGTACAGCCTGCAGCTGAATTTATCATCTCTCTGATTAGATATTATTCAAATATCTATCATAACTATTACGCTTTTCATCTTTTATCAAAAAGGCTTCTGATTCTAGTATCTCCCGTGCCTTTGAATATGTAACTTTTTTCTCTTTTCTAGGCTTATTTTATTGCCTTTAAGAAGATATTTTTGTACAGTAATGAAATATCTTCTTATAAAGGGGATATTACAAGTAGATATTTTCATTACCTTTGAGGAGATATTTCATTTGAGATATTTGTTGACCCCATCCCTGCATCATGTATGAAAACACCAACTTAAATTGTTGGTTTTACGTAAAATTCCCTACACATGATTTTTTTTTATTTTTACACATGATATCCAATTAATCTTTTATTTAAAATTTAACTTGTAATGATAACCATCCGTTGACAAAAAAAAAGATAACCATCTAACAAACCAAACATATGCATAGAAGAAGTTTTTGTTCTTGTTCTTACACATATAGAAGAAGTTGGTAAAGGAACTATGGAAGTTTTGGTATATATTGCGACGACAGACAAGGAAAGGTTTGGCCCAACAGCCATGTGAAGTCACTTTAATTAGTCTTGGATGGGACCCTCTACATAAAAATAGCAACTAATGTAATGCTGCCTAACACTTATTTTAGTATGTTATTGTTTTGTTTTGTTTGGTTCTTTGTCATGTCGTGTAATGGTGTCATACAATTGCCATAAATCATAATTGGTGAGCTATTGCCCCCAACACTTCAGCTCTGTTTGCCTCCTCTCCATAACTCTCTCTTTTGTCTTTCCCTTTCTTCTCTTATTTCAATAAAGCATCCAACAATATCAAGGTATGAAGTAGCCTTCTGCGGTGCATAATCTTTAAGTTCAACTTCTTAGTAAGAAATTAACATATCAACAAAAAGTACAGTGAAGCTTTATAATCTATTTTAATGTATATGAAAATCTTAGTTGGTATATACTATATAGTATACAACGAAGGGGAACAAATTAAATATAATATTGTATTGAACTTAGCTGTTTATCTTCGTAGGAAAAAAACAATAATGCAAACCAGCCTATTAAAATATTCGTTTATTTTGATTTTAGAACCTGTTATAGTTGCTATTAGACGATTTTACCATGCAGGATATAAATATTTATAAATAATTATATTATTTGAGTCATTATAAGTAATTTCTCTAAAATTATTAATAAATTAATTTCAATATTAGTTATTTTGTAACTTATATGTATGATTTATTTTACATAGTATCATATTATTTTAATTCAATATGTACTTTGAATATATTAATTTAAATTATATTTAATTCTCCAAATTTAACTATATTATTGAAAATGGATTAACTGTTCTCACAGACAAAAATACAAGTTTCATGTGCATTAGCTAGTAATAGAGGCATGAAACCAAGGGATCAATGGGTTATAGACTTTGGATATACGATATAGCTATTATCATATGACATATGTGAGGGATTGGATTAAACCATTAAGTGACGTTTGATATAGATGACACTGTGGAAACTTCATAAGTTGGTTATGTTTAGCTCAGTACCGTCCCAATAATAAAATATTTTTCTTTCAAAAGATACAACTAGTAGTATATTAGTTTAGTTCTACATCAAGATGTAGAGGATTGTTAGACTATTTGTGTCAAGCAATATCATCCTTACCATATTCTGTAGATATTTGATTCTCTGTAATAACTCTAGATGGCAAAGCCCTAACATTACTCTGTATATATTGGAGCCGCATGTGTTAATAATAATCATCTTCTCAACTCTTCTATATGGTATCAGAGCAAGGCTCTAACCTATCTTATATTTGTTGATATTTTATCTAAAATGTTTATTCTTGAACCATTAAAAGATCACTTTCAGACTTTCAGTTAGTTTCCATTCATACTATAACTATTTCCTAACTTGTAAGACCACAAAAGATTCTAAACAGAGAAAAAAAATGTCACTAGCAAAAGGAAGATACATATGTAAAAATAAAAGAAAAATAGTAACATTCAAAAATCCGACAGAAACCACTCAACTCAAGACTCTGATCAAATGTTCTTCTAACCAAGCAGCTACAATAACCTTTTGAAAATGTGGCCCCAAAAACTGGAAACAATTCGTGGCCTAAAGCGCTAGCTAATTCATATGCTTTATGAAAGGGATGGCCCTGATTAGGATTACCATACTAATAATGTTAGGTTATGTTCACTATCATGTGCCAGTGAGCATAACTCCGCTATTTATTAACTCATATTGTGACGGTTTTACACGTTATCATGTGCAAGTGTGGATGTTGGTTTATAGATTGGCTTGCTTCCATAACCTGACAGCATAACGAACCCAGAGTTACTTTTTTTTTGGTAAAAAACGAACCCAGAGTTATGAGAAGTTATTGTCCTCATCACCTATTTATGAAAATTTTAAGCACCCCTGATTCACCCAATGCAAAGACGAATTATTTTCAATGTTCAAGGCTGGCAATTGTTTATTTATGATTAATCAGAAGAATTGTTGATAGAGAGACGAGATTTTGAGTTCAGATAATGGCGTGTCTCTCCGTTACAAGAGATATGATCAAAGTTGTTTATACACAAAAAGAAAAAAAGACCATATGTGGGACTGGGACTAATTGTAATGTACTGGGAAGTGGTACGTTTCAGACAAAAATCTTTGAATTTCATCTCTGTATGTACTTGATTCAAGTCACGGACTGAAAAAAGGCCCACCAACTTTTACTCAAATGAAAACGTGGCCATATTGGGCCTTTGATTACCGAATGATTGATAAGATTCTTTCACAGTCAAAGATTGCCACATCAACGGAAACGTGTAGTTCTTTTATAACTAAAAACTTTGGAGTTGCTCACCATTTTCCACGATACCCAATCCTTTTCCATAATGCCTGTCTTCTTCTTCTCCCTTCGTTTTCTTTTCTTCTCCGCCATCATCCCCTTCCTCGCCTCCATCGTTCTCTACCAGCTCGACACGTTCGACCCAGCTCCATTTCCTCCCAATGCATTAGTCTACTCTACAGCCTCTATCCCACCTCTGATCAACGACCAGCTTCTAACCGGAGCTGAGTTCATAGGTGTAGGGCTTCTCAACAGCCCCGAGGATATCGCTTACCACAGAGACTCGGGCCTTATCTATACTGGCTGCGTTGATGGATGGGTGAAACGAGTTAAGGTTACCGAGTCAGTTAATGACTCTGTTGTAGAGGACTGGGTCAATACCGGTGGTAGACCACTCGGTCTAGCTTTTGGACTACATGGAGAAGTCATTGTCGCGGACGCATACAAGGTTTAGTGGTCGTGATTTTCGGAACTCGTGTTTATTTTTAATTGTCTGAACAGGGGCGAATCTAGACCATTTAGTTAATAGAAACGCTATTGATAATGAAGAAAATGAAAATGCATAAGGATGCAAAATGGGAAAATAACGTTTTTGTTACCATATGAACTAACAAAATTTTAAAATTTCTTACTTATTCCCTCCATTTTATTTTAGTTGTCGTTTTAATTTTTTTTTACACAAATTAATAAAATATTTTGTTTTATATATTTTAAAAATAAAATCAGAATTATTTATATATGTAATCACATTTCAAACAATAAAAAATAGAAAAATGTATAAAGTTAATAAATTCTGCATCAAAATTATAAAATAATATTTATTTTGAAACACAATTTTTTCATTACAAAGGGAATATATAACTTTGAATTTAAATATAATTTCGTTTGCACGTGCCCCCACACCTTATATCTTTGCTTAGCCAATGTGTCCGAGTGAGGTGATGAATTTTTGTCGTGCCTGTAGGGGCTGTTGAACATAAGCGATGACGGGAAAAAGACGGAGTTGTTGACGGATGAAGCGGAAGGTCTGAAGTTCAAGCTCACTGATGCAGTCGTCGTTAGAGATAACGGCGTTTTATATTTCACAGATGCTTCTTTCAAATTCAACCTCCATCACTTTGCGTTTGATCTTTGGGAAGGCAAACCATATGGCCGTCTCATGAGCTTTGACCCCAGGACAAGAACCACACGTGTCTTACTCAGAGACCGTTACTTCGCTAATGGTGTCTCTATGTCTCCTGATCAAACCCATCTCGTCTTCTGCGAAACCCCCTTGTCCTGTCTCTCTCTTAATCTCCTCTCTTTGTAATGAGTCCTTATCTAAAGTGGGTTTCTTATTGTTCACAGAAGAAGATGCAGCAAGTATTACATAAACGAGGAGCGTGTGGAGGTGTTTATTCAAGACTTACCAGGTTATCCTGATAACATCCGGTACGATGGAGATAGACATTACTGGATTGCAATGCCTTCGGTACTATATATATACTAAACTCTAATCCTTAACTTTATGAATGAGCTTTGGTATCATCGTTTTTTTTCTTTCTAATTGGTTTGCAAAAAAAAACAGGGAGTAACAACGTGGTGGAAGCTCTCGTTTAGATACCCATTCATAAGGAAACTCCAAGGCATAGCGGCTAAGTATGGTTTCAACACTATGATTTTGGAGGATGCTGGTGTTTTGCAGGTGGATCTGGATGGGAAGCCTATCGCGTTGTACCATGATCCTAAACACTCTCACGTGACCAGTGGAGTCAAGATTGGGAAATATCTCTACTGTGGGAGTCTTATGGATTCACATATAGTCCGACTCGATCTCCTCAAGTATCCTGCACAGAAGAGGCTTTGAACTCTTACGTTTACTCTATCATTTCACAATGTAAACCCCATGGTCCATGAGACAGATAATGATTTGATCTCGAATATTAGTAACATGTAACATTGATTCCAAAACATACAGTTTGTAAGACATAGTAATACATGTAAAATGATACGGACCATACTAGTGAAGTGATTGGACTAACTTTTGCTTTCTGCTACTACTAAGCCCATGATTTTAAGTTTTAACTAACGAAGATGATGTGTGAAATATCAAAAAAAACAAAACGGTAAATGTTAGTGTAAATGTTGCGTCGCGTCCATCCATGATTTGGTATATAGGAAGGAAGTGTTTGTTGTCATTACATATTTCAGTAATTTAGGTAGTCCACGCATATCAGAAGAAACATTTAATTGGAAATTTGATTCTATAGATAGTAAAAGCGTTTTAAAACAAAACTTTGTTTTAGTAAAACAAACGTAAAATACATTTAAACGATACACGAGAGTACGAGACGATACATGGTTAATTTACTTTTCCTAAATTCATTTCCTACCTTTAAACACTTATGCATTGCAATGGTTTACAGTTGTTTCATTAAGAAATGCCTGATCGAGTCACTAAGGGGCCACCAGAGTAACGCTCAGTGCTTAACATCTCGGTTTGTAACTTTGTAGTAGTAATACTATTTCAAAACAGAGCTAGCTGATGTAGACCAATGTCCTCTGCTTAGCATCGTAACTAAGGCTGGGCATAATATCCATACCCAGAGTATTAACCCGAATGGATCCGAAAATATGATATCCGACCCGGTCGGATCTTGCCTAAATATCCAAATGTGATCATTTTATAAATTCAAAAAAATTGTAATCGAAACCGATTCGCATTGAGAACCGAATGAGTATTCAAACATATTTAAATATAAATATATATATATGTAAAAATTTATTTAAGTTATATTTATAATAGTATTAATAACTAAAACTAAAATTATAAACCAACTATATTAGTTATTTTGGGTATTTATAGATGAAAATAAATGTTTCGAATAAGAAAACTTCAATAACTTTATATCCATGGTTACTTTTGGACCAAAAAAATACCCAATTCAAACTATATAAATTAAGTATTTTTGGATTTTTAAATTATTTTGAATAGGTATGAGTATTTTAAATATAAAATATCTGAGTTTTAAATATAAAATATCTGAGTCGAATCAAATAATTTGGTTACTTCGGATAAAACCCAAACTCATCCGAATCCGGAAGGATACGACTCGAATCCGACCTGGTTTTTTTTAATACCCGAACGAGACCACTTTTCAAAATTCGAAAGAACTAATACATGAATGGATAGTATATCCGATATTCGAATACCTCCTATCGTAAGAACGTCATTATCTCATGTTTTTGGTAGGTTGCTTAGTCACATTTTATGTGTGGACTCCACCAAAAATACAAACAACCATCTCCAAATGTATTAAAATAAACAACTGATATGAAGTGTTTCTTGCACTGTTTGCTGGTCTCAATAAGAGCATCCGCAACAAGTGATCATTAGGGGGAATCCTTAGGAAAAAAGAAAAATGGGCATTTCAGATTATATAAGGATATTTCGGATTATCTCTTTAAAATAAAAAACATGACCAATCGTGGACCGACAAGTGGGCAGTGGAGCCCATGAATAGTGTAAGGATCAATTCTTACATAAGGATTTTATCCTTAAAGTCCTTAACTGTTCATGGGACCCATTGGTTAATATTTCCCTAAGGATTCTCCCTAAGAACTCTTTGTTGCGGGTGGTCTAACACGTGACGCCCCGCGTTATTTTTTTTCAAACTAAAAAGAAAAAGAAAGTTTTTGGGATAATTGTTAAGAAATGAAGATGGTGGTTGGGACATATCCGGAAATGGACCAGACCACATCAGTACCATACCAGGCGGCCAAGCATCAGTCACTATCCTCCCTTGTATTTATCCATATGTTGTAGTTATCCTAATCATTATAGGATTAGGATAATCATCCCCTTTATTGTTGTAATCCTTATCTCCTAAGGAATATGCTTA